ACTGAAATTGATCATTTTTTTGATTTCACTATATATCATCCTTAGAGGTTTACTTCAATAAACCGTTTAGTCACAAGCTTTTCGTTAATTTCATATGTTAAACAAGTTCGTGACCATCTAGCTAGACTTAGCCTATCAGTACATAATGCCTTGGTGTTCAAATCGAGACGTACTGGATTCAGTTCTTAGTATGTTCATCATTAACCCTGGAATCCAGATAAATCTAGCTAACAAGTGGTCAAATAAAACAAAACCTATATTGTAGATTTCACTACTAGCTACATACCAAACATATTTCATGCGTAAAGTAATTTAAAAATGGCTAATATAACTTTAAATTAAATTACAACAATTGAGATCATGAATCAATTGAAGCTAAATTGCCATGAAAAACCTGGAAGCACTGGACGGCCGTTTCTTCCTATTGTGGGACTCCTCAGCAGTGTGCATCCACGATCCCGCCTCTCGAGATTCGAACTCAGGACCTATCCATAATATCAACTTCTGATATTATAAATTAATTTACAAATAAGAAGCGCAGATGCATCCACTTTTTGTGTTCTCCTAAATTCTAATCTGAATTCTTCATGTTTCTTTCATTTTTTCTCTTTCCAAATTTATTTCACTGGATTATATTCCTAGCAGCAGTCTCTGCATCAGTAAACTTCAGAATACAGAAGGGGAAAACCAAGGTCCTCTAATTCAAAACGGAGAACAGCAATCCACTTACTCTTGATGGCGAAACTCTGGAGGATATAGGATCCTTCACATACCTGGAAAGCATCATCGATGAACAAGGAGGTTCAGATGCAGACGTAAAAGCTAGGATTGGCAAACCAAGGGCTACATTCCCACAATTCAAGAAGATATGGAACTCAAAACAACTTCCAACCAATATCAAAGTCAGAATCTCCAATACGAACGTCAAGGCAGTTCTAGTGTACGGAGCTGAAACGTGGAGAACTACAACAACCACCATCAAGAAGGTACAAGTATTTATAAATAGCTGTCTACGCAAGATAATCAACATCCATTGACCGGATACCATCAGCAACAGGCTTTTGTGGGAGAGAACAAACCAGGTTCCAGCTGAAGAAGAAATTAAGAAAAGACGATGGAAATGGATAAAACATACATTACGCAAATCATCAAACTGCATCATGAGGCAAGCGCTAACTTGGAATCCTAAAGGGAAACAGAAAAGAGGAAGGCCAAAGAACACATTACGTCGGATAATAGAAGCAGATATGAAAAGGATGAATAGGAACTGGAAGGAGCTGGAAAGGATTGCTCAGGACAGGGTTGGATGGAGAATGCTGGTGAGCGGTCTATGCTCCTTCACGAGGAGTAACATGCATAAGTAAGTAAGTAAGGATTATACTCCGGAAACAAGATCTTCAAACCCTAATCTTCCCGATTACTGCTTATACTTTTATTACCTCTACCACTACGTGATATGAATCGACCACTGCATCTCTGTGCTAATGTTGTATGACAACTCGGACTGATGTACGTACCTAAGAAGTTCTACGTTGTTATTACTGACTGAAGTTAATCTAATGGTTATTCTATAAGTTTTCATGTTCTAATGATTTATTTCTATTCACAGGTTGTGCTTATTCAATTTTGTTTGTACTATTAAACTAATTGACAATCTAAAAAAAAACATGACTTTAAAGGTTACATATGTATATATATAATCACTATATTAATATTATCATACTTCAATAATAATACACTTGACAACAATGAAATTTGAAATCAATGAATAAAGTTGAAATATTTTTGTCTAAAGCATTTTTTTGTTCACCATAGTTTGAGAAACATGTGATACTGAGGTCAAATTTTTAATCATGAAAAAAAAAAACGAACACATTTCTATCTTGATTTCATATAGTTTCTCTCTCTCCCCCTCTCTCTCACTCACTCAATAGTTTGTATCTTTTGATGATTTATTTTGATAGTATTTTAAATATAAAGAACTTGTTTAGTAAACCTATTCCCTATCTTGATATTCATAATGTAAGCATAGTGTTTCTCATTAAGTTCAGTACACTGAGTGTTGTTCCTCTCTTCTTCTTTTTGACTTCTGTCACTTGGTGTTTTGAATTGTGGAATGTTAAATCAATGTATAAGTGCGTCAATTTCACTTATCCAATTGATATCATTTGCTTCAGGATATTAGTTTGATTGAGTTAAATGGTAGATTATCAAGAAATCATATTGATATTATCATGGTTGAAATCGTTAACTTCGATTCAAACGATACATTTGATACCGAAAGCTTCATAGAATCAGTTCGATCGATTTCATATTAACTGGAAAAAAAAATTAAGTGTAACGACCTGTAACCTACGACGAAACGATGAAATATATTTATCATATTCAACTAATGGCCATAAACAAATTGTGCTTAGTCAGTAATAATACTGTAATGTGAATGAGAACACAAGTGGGAACAACCGAATGCAAAATTACAAAACATGTTAATAAAATCTTTGAACATTATAGTAAATACTTTATTTGCAAAATGTCAATCAATTGTCTCAAACTTTATTGTTCTTTTTCTTCCACACAAATCATTCTTTGTTCTTGTTCTCTTTTCTTCGATCTTCTTAACCTTCTGCCTCTAGACATTTCAGTTTCGATTGATGATACATACTGTCAACATCAGTAGCGTACATCACAATATCAATATATCTGCCAACTTGATCATTGACGATAACTAATTTAACGAGATTTATTAAGATAAATCATTCTAGGTTGTTTATCTGTATTTAATCTCTATTCTCAAAATAAGTAGTAAGTTTAGCTAACTGTAAAATGTAAAGGCGTTTATTCTGTACGTATCTCTAAGGGGTTATAAATTAATGTAAATATTGACTACTAAAGTACAGATTTATGCATATTTTTTAAAATCATTTCTCAACAAATAAATAAATTTCAACAGTTGAGATCATGAGTCAACTGAAGCTAGACCACCATGGAAAACCTGGAAGCACTGGACAGCCGTTTTGTCTTACTGTGAGTTTCCTCAGCAGTGCGTATCGACGACCCCGCCTCGCGAGATTTGAATCCAGGTCTTATCAGTCTCGCGCCAGGCGCTTAACCAACTAGACCACTGAGCGTTAATGTCTAACTTCAACTAATCCACGAAATTGAGCGACACATCCATTATTGTCATCAGTGAGCTACTACCTCACAACTGACCCGGTTGAACTCCACTGGTCACGGCTCCTTAAGAGACTGATAGGTCCTGGGTTTGAATCCCGCGAGGTGGGGTCGTGGATGCGCAGCGCTGAGGAGTCCCACAATAGGACGAAACGACCATCCAGTGCTTTCAGGTTTTCCATGATGGCCTAGCTTCAATTGACTCATGATCTCAACTGTTGAAATTACTATAATATCCACAATACTCCTTCTGATACAAATAAATAAATATTCATAAATGAGCAATTGATAGAATTCGGTTTCCTTGATTAAAATGAGGGTTATTATACTACACATTCTATTTTATTATCAAAACGAATTATTTTCAATCCATAATGTCTCATTATGGAAAAGAACTTGTTCGTTTATAATAATTGATTAATTAATTCCATTCAGAGTTATTGGAAATTCAAAGCTCATAAGTATAGTTTAGAATAAGATTTTTATCGTTAAGTACCTCTGAGAGAAATTAACTTTCTTGATTAAGATTAGAATAGATAAATTTTAATATTCAATCTGTTGGCCCACCATTGAAAACCTGGAAGCATTGGATGGCCGTTTTGTCTTATTGTGAGTCTCCTCAGCAGTGCGCATCCACGGTCCCGCACACGAGGTTCGAAACGGTCTTGCACGTGAACGGTTAACCGCTAATCAGTAAGCTGGTATCTAATAGTGTTAATGTCTAACTTCAATAAATTCACGTTATTACTTTAGCATTTCTCGGTGGGTAAGTGCCTCACACCCAGCACGGTTGAACTTTACTGGTCACAGATTGTCACTGGAACTCCGAGAATTAACTTTCGAATCTAATCAGTAGTGAGTATATGATATCAGTATAGGGTTATGGGCTAGGACTAAAAAGGCCGTACAGTGCTTCCTGGTTTTCAATGGTGGTCTAACATGATCTCAATAAGACCTCAACGATTTTCACAACCATATACTGATGATGATATTTGATACTTTCTACTGGTGGTAGTCTACTGATATCAGTCTATGATGAAAGATGCTTTCAAATTTGATAACTTTCTTTACACAATATGATTACAACTAATTATCGAAAATAACGAAAAGTTAACACTTTTCGAATAACATCTCTAATTGATGTTTCCCTTAGATTTAGTCTTTCTTGTATGATAGTAATAGTCATGTAATCATGTAAAAATTTGCTTTTAATATACTTCTCGTACACAATAGTTGTATTTCTTATGGATTTTGGGTCTTTTTAATAGTATTATCAAAAAGATCAAACAGAATATAACTGGACAGATAACGGAAGTAGTTATTCGAATAGTTGGTTTCTGTGTGTTATCAAATTAGTTTGTAGTTATGGTTGTTATCATGTTTCATATTTCAGTTAATTATGTTGAATTTTTTTCACTTGAAAATGGGTTCTTTCCTTTCATAAGAGATGGACACTAAGCTAGAAAGTTATCCGTTAGAGAAGATTTGATAGTTGGGGTTTTAGGACACTTGAGGTTCATTTTAAATATATATATATGAAAGTTAGTTTGGTCTTCTTAGTTTATTATGGTATTTTGAACTAATTCAATATGCTCTTCATTTGATGAAATATTTTCGTAACATAGAGTTCTTTAGATATTGTTCATTGTGAGGCCTGTAGGTCATTGGTTCGATTCCTGATTAGGTCATATACACCAACCCCATAGATGTGTAATAAAATTTGTGCCATCATGTAAACTGTTTACATTGGTGATTTTAAACTATATTCTGCCTAAATGTTTTAATGTAAGTACTAATCAGTGTATTATTTTTTTTTTGTTATCAAATAGAAACTTAGATTTACCCCCTGCATATACAGATGTTGTAAAACTATCTGCCATTGAAACCGAGTCTAACAACAATAATAATAATAACTCAACAATACCGGATGCATTTCGTTTTAATTTATCACCAAATGAACAAATTACAAATCCTTCTTTTTTATCTAAATCATCTTCAAATCAAACTGGTCGATTCAATTCTACATTGTATACTAGTGAACAGAATGCTACATCAAGTCAAATTTTAAATGTAAAATCATCGAATACAACACCACCTCCACCTAGTTATGAAGAGATTGTCGCAGCGACAAATGCAATGAAGACAAATCGTGATAATGATGATTCAATTATGTCAGGGAATGAAATGAATATTGCTCAAGTTAGTCTTCAAACAGAAGATACCGTTACTACTACTAGTAATAATACGATTACAACTTATAGTGGTAGTAATTTGAATACTGAACGAACTGAGACTAATTCCTCGTAATTTCTGCAAAAAACTTTAATGCTGAAAATGTTTTTTTTTAATAATTTGATTTCTTCTGCCTCTTGTACTACTACTACTACTACTACTACTGTTGATTCTTTCGCCAATCGTGCTATAAGTAGTATCGGTTTTGTTTCTTCAATAAAACAATTCACTTATTTGACATTTGAATTCTCAATGCTTTTCGCTTATTCCAGAAATTAAATTTCTCCTTTTTTCCGTTTTTTTTTCTTACCATTTGATCATGCTTTTCAGTTTCTATATTCGCTTAAGGATTCAATAAATCAGAATGATTATTACCTTCTCTTGCTCTATTTCCCCATTCCTTAAGTAGAAAACTGTCTATCAAATCGATACTCAATGATGATCACTCTCTGTCTTGTATTTATCTAACAACATACTATTTCTGATTGTAAATGACAGTGTTGATAATAATGATGTTTGTTCATAGGACTCTCCATGAATCATAATAAAATTTGAAGGTTTATTGATAGGGATTCCCGATTCTATTATTTACTTTACTATTATTATTATTACTACCCTTTGTATAGTTCCTATTGTTGATTTAAACAAGTTTTGTCCCTTGGGTTGTATCTATTTTTTTTAAAATTTCGACTTTTCTATATTTATGGTGTATCTATTGTGATATGGAGAGAGAAATTCTCTTCTAGTTTTGGTCTTTCAATCATGAAAGAAAATTGATGGCTGAAAATTAGGAAGAAGAAGAGGAAGTTATAGAATTGTATGAAAATGTAAGTTGTAGTTAGTTTTTGTATAATTGATGAGAGGAAGAGTAAAAAAAAGGGGGGGTTACAACTGATGCACTGTAATATCTTACATTTTCCATATTTTATATGCATTACCATACATGCATTTATATATGTGTGTATGTGTATGTATAAAATAGTCCTTACTATCTTTTCTTTTTCAATTCATTCATATGTATGTTCTCGTTTTGTGTCTTATGATTATGAAGACAATCATGAATGGATTTGTCTTATTACATATGGCGAAATCTGGTATATATATACTTGTATCCATGTTATTATTATTTCAACACATAGATATTGGTACAAAGAGGCACCAAATACATATGCACCACACAAATCTCATTCGATATGTGTGAGGGCTGTGATGCTGCCTGGGTGCCCAAACCGAAGCAGGTGGTTTTCTTAGGGGGCCACTCCCCGAGCCTTCGACCTGAAGGTCTGATCCACAAGGCAGTGGAGCATCGTAAGGAGATGCAGTCCCATGGAAGCCGGTGACCAACGATTGGTTCATACGCCATTTGTTCCCGCAGGATACTGGAGCCCATGTGCACCATTGATTTGGTTTGGAATCCGGTTAAAGCGCCGGATATTCGCTTTTCGTCCTCCCGTTTTCGTAAACAACAGTGATGCTACGAGAAGGCAGTGAGTAGGACTTCCCTGGCAGAGGTTATATACACGTGGCCATGTGAGAGCATTTCGAGAGGGAGAGCGGACTCTCCTCACTCTCGCCCGTACCAGGGCATTAGGGGGCATTTCTGGTCAGAGGTTGTTTATTATTGAAGATGTATAAGGTGAATTACAGTCATTTTAAAAATAATACTTTGTTACTGAGTAAATTAGAGTTTTACTCAACAATTTATCATACTGTTTCACCTAGGTTACTTAGAATAGTAGTAAGAAACGCTTAATTCACTATACACTAACTGTTATCATTTGAATAGTTAACTAATGGTGGTCCAACATCAATCGGTTGATGATCTCAGTAAAAAAACTTAACAATCTCCACAACCCCTAAACTGATAAGATTATTTGTATTGAGCTGAAAATTATTGTAATGTGACTAGTTAGTAGTAGATCGATTATTATCTTGAAGAAGTTCCGACAAGTTTGCTGAATGTGAAACGTTGGAATTATTTAGATTTTAATCTTTGTAATTCTTTCAAATATAATGACTTCTCTATATTCAGCGCCTAATTTTTGTCATACTATTCGTATCAAATAGTTAGTAGATCGTTTTTTTCGATTCCAGAAAGGTGATACGTTTTATTTGTAACAAAACAACATGAATAATTCTATGATATATTTCTACTATAATGAATTGATCGTTGTTAATAGATTGTAAACCTACCATTCTAACCTAGTAATAGTATTAGTTGAATTATTTACGGAAAATATAAGTATCAGTAATCATAGTGGCAATGATAATGTGTCATCTTATTTTAAATGAAGCAAATCTGGGTGCTTGTATAAATTCCAGTGTACCATAACCTACTAATATGGATAGTTTTGAAGATAGTTTCAACATCAGAATAATAGAAATAAGACAGTAAATCCTGGAAATTTTATTTTTGATCTATGAATAATTTTATACTGTCATATCCCAAGTGATGTATGTTCTTGATGAATAGGTAAGGTCAGTTATACAGTAAAGTTTCGCGTTCATTTTCAATTGTGTTCTAGAATATCTTATAATAACTGAACTCAAGTTATATTGTAGTGAACGAGAACACGGGCGGGACAAACGGGTGTATTCAGAATAACAATTACAGTCTATCTCAACAAAATCTGAATACCATATAGTAAATCGTCAATTTGCAAAATATTCATGCATCAAACCACACTGGACTGTTTCTGTTGCAAACACCAATCTATTGTCTCCCATTCCATTGTTCATGCATTTCCTTACAAATTCCATTGTGTTCTCGCTCTACCTTTCTTGATCTTGGCCATCTTCCGCTGCCAGACATTACGTTCTTTTAACACACGTTATATACTACTTATATCAATATAAGTAGCCCACCACAATATTTGTTGTCATAAGAGATCGTTAATAGTAAATACTATGAAAACCAGATCATCTCCATTTTGCATAATTTGTTCGATTTGAAATTTTGTCCGTTTTTGTGATGTAGGGTCAGTGAAATGTCACTGAGCCATAGACAAATCATTTGACAGTTGGGTCACTGAATATCGAACAGATCATCGATTCCTGTTAAAGTTAAGGACAACTAACGTGCATCAGCTAATCGTATGACATGGACTAGCTCATGCGGTGGTGGTCTCACTATCTTCTCTGTACTCATTCTTACTAATATATTTCCGTAATAGTGTTCTTTGTGTTGTACGGTCTTCAAAGCCATAGTACCTTGGTACAATGAAGGGGTATTCTACGTCAGGTGCTGACTGTGCGAGGTGTGATTCCGACACCATTCCCGTCTAGCTCGAATAGGCCCCCAACCATTTAACATAGATCATCTACATTGGTGATCTACAATGATATCTATCCTCTATGAAATCACAATATAAAATTAGCAATCACAAAAATAATATTCTGTATGCAACATGAACAATTTATACGACTATTAGTTAAATGTTCGGACGAATATTTTAACAGAAGTTGAGTGCAAAGTAGTATATAGAAGATATTTCAGCATTTAACATTTAGATAATTTCAACATCTCATCGAACAAACTTATTCGAACTTCTGGATAGTAATCAAAGATTACATAATATCTAACAATCAAATCAAAATCTACAATAAATGCTTAAACCAATCATATTCAAATGTTGAATTTAATAAGATGTGAATCATTGGTTAGACTTTATATCTATATATTCATCCTGTTTATATTATATATGGCCTTTTTACCGACTGAACATTTTTAACATCGTAACTATGTATTTGATCATTTTCATTTTACATTGATGTTTTTTTTAAGAATACAAATCATTTCCAATTTGTACTATTTTCACTTTTTAATAAACAGACGATTAACATTCATTCACTGAATGAATATTAACTATTATGATAACATAAAACTACACATATAGAAACATTGATTCTTATATTATCCTACTTACTTCGGTCGACATCTGAATATAGCGGTTTGTAAATTTATTACATTCAATATGGTCACACAAAATGTAAATTATCCTTTCGACAGGAGTACTAGGTTAGGAAGAATTAACATCTAATGAAATAATTCCGTTTTCTGGGCTATTTAGGAGTTGGCTGTTAAATCATTCAAGTGTTACTTGATATTAATAGTTTATCATGAAGTGGAAACGAACGATTTTCTTATTTACTTTTGGAAAGTTATTTAATCATACAGTAGCAGAAGCCTATAATCATAGATATCCGGATCACTCATCTTTTCCAAGATTTTCGTCAAGTTTTGTCTGTTTGTATTACTTGTGAGTGGGTTTTTTTTTGAGAACTTGTCTTTGTCTATTCACGTGATTGATGATTTAGTGATATAACCTCTATAATTCCTGAAGGCAGTCCTAGCACTGTTACTTGGACAATGCCATACTAAATCATTCATTTTGGAAGATTATTAATTTGAGACTTTTGACCTTTTAACAGAAGTTTTTTAGTAGTTCGTAGCAATCACAAACAGTAGATTTGTGCTATTCGAAATTCTAGTCCAAGGCTATGATATCTTGCTTATATGCTTACACCAATACATAACTTAGATGATACCAGAAATTTATTGTAACTCTGTTAATGATATAACGCTTTATCACAAACTATCACATGTCAATGAAATTATTGCAAAAGGTTAATTCTGACCTTTACCAAATTTATTTATCGAAGAAACACAATTAATTTGCAATAGAAGGTTTTCATGATTAGATTTAATGTTTTCCAAGTCAATTTATGTTGTGACGGGCGGTGTCCGAAGTCTGATACTACTGTTACGCGATGTGCAACTCGCCAACCCTCCCGACTGACTACTTGAGCGAGAATGTATATTGGGCCACCGAATAAACTGCACAAATACTCGTTTATATATAAAGAGAACTCAACTGCTCAAGGAATTAATCAATTTTTTAGTGATATGCACTTGTCCTTCGGGTTACTTCTGATTGCCATCGATTGACCGTCTCATTTGGCTACCTTTGATTGGCTTACCATCTCAATTTGCTTCAAAATAAATAATATGCTAGTTCAATCACGCAGGCCAAATGACAGGTGATGGATGCTGACGTGCACACGCTTTTAGTTAAGGTTCGGTTAAATATTTTGAGGAAACAGACAAAAGTCTAGCATAAGGGACAAGTCAATCAGAATCAAGGATGTG